ACATGTTTGAGAGGGTTGTCAATATTCGTATGTTGTTACACCATTGATCCATTTCACTTTTGTTGATTTCCAATTTTTCGATAGATGTTGAGGCAGTTCGATTTCCACTAACCTATTTCTCTTATTCTAGAGAATCATAACGCTCTCCACAGATTAGATGGGCGGGGTAGGCACGATGAGGATTAGGCTCTGAGGCATGCCAACTATATCAATCTTTGGAACAATATTTCTTTATACTTGACAACTCTCATTCCTATTCAAACGGATGACTTTGACTTCCATAATTCAGATTACCTTAATTATTATTGGGAACATTGAAAGTCGTTTTTGACAACGAACATAGAAAGACAATTTATACAGTATAAGAAATTTTTTGGTGAAGCCAAAAAACCAAGACGGTGATTCTGTGGGAGTGGGAGTTCATCTTACCATGAAGCAGAACAAGCGATGATGGATAATATCCCATCAAAATGGTTTGGTGGTACAGGATCATTTCATCAAGTGTTTGGTGATTCTAGTGTTATGGCATACACTCCTCAACTTATTCTTCATCAATCATTCATGTTTTGTCCCATGTTTGGAGCAACATATGATTTTGATCAGATGACATCTATGATGTCAAATACGAGTATTTTTCCTCAGGTGGAAGAGCACAGTGGTGATGGGCATGTATTTACAACACCGGATCATATGCCCTCGGTGAATAAGCAGGTTGGTTATGATAAACAAACTCCTGAGCAACTGCAACTGTCACAACGAACCGACGTGTGCCTCGACATTATTATTCAACAACACCCCGACACCGACAGGAGTTGTAAATGCTTTATATGTCTGAATTAATAAATTTTAAGTTGAAACTAAGATCAATATCCATCACATTCATTCAAATATTGATATTAATCACATTAATTCAAATATTGGTATTAATCACATTCATTAAAATATAGAGTCAACAAATATCCATCATATTCATTAAAAAAAGAAAAAACAAAACATTCATTGAAATACAAATAGGCAAGAAATTCAATTATTCGTTCAAATAGAAATAAGATTACTAGTTAGGCATGTACCGTGGAAGGTTTGGACAATTTATTTTTAAATGATCTTCACCTCTACACAATCCACATCTCTTCGGTTGACATTTCTCTCTAATATGGATATCATACTGGTATGAATACGAGTAGACTCATGTCGACCCGTTGGACTTCTAAGAAGTAGTGGATTTGACAACCACTCATCATGATGATGTTTCAGCCAATATGATTCATTTGGGATCGGTCTGAACTCATGGTTGTATATATTTAATATCCTCTGCAGGTGAAAGCACTCATCAACATAAGTGTATGAATTTATTCCAGTATGCATACATGTAGCGACTGCATGAGCACACGAATATCTCCACACCTGAAAGCGGCAACAATCACACCATCTTTCTCGTAAACTAACTGTAAATGTTTCTCGCTCTGCTCCTTCGTTACGATGTATGCATGTGATAACAACAAAAGTATGTCCAATTCGATCGAAGTCATTAACAAACATTGAGGTTGTCAATCGCTCATTTTTTTTTCCATTGCTTCCACCACTGTCGGAGCCTAGATTTTACCTCGATTTATCATACACTTAATCTCTTTCTATTTATTAGACAAAACTTTAGTCAACTTAAAGTACGTCTCTTTCACCACATTCGCTATTGGGAGATGGCGTGTACCTTTTAGTACTGAATTAATGGCCTCAGCAAGGTTTGTTGTCATGTGTATGTATCACCGACCACCATCATATGCTTGCGACCACTTTTCTGCTTGATTTTCAACGCCTACATCCAAACGCGCCCATCTATGACCTTCAAATTCTCCAATCTCTTATCAAAATTTAGTTGGCGTATTTTATATCCTGTTTCATAATATATATTGTGTTAACGTCAATTTATAAACAAACACATAATTAGGTACACATGTTGAAAATAAAACTTACTCAAACTGACTATCTCCCTACGAATGTGACCGTTATGAAACTTGTCAATACAATTCTTACCTATACGGCGGATACAATATACGGGATATATGTGTGGAGGTGTCCAACGACTTCCCGGTCGGTCAATTGCTGCCAAAAGACATGTTCCTTGATTGGATATCAAGGAAACTTCATTTCTCAAACGACATAATTATGTAGATTAGTTAGAAAGAAATCACAAGCCTCTATCGTCTCTCCTTCAACAATGACGAATGCAATCGGGAAGATATTTCGTTGACCATCCCGCGCAACTGCTATCAATAATATATGTTTATATTGATCGTATAATCATGTACCATCTACTTGAACCATATGTTTGCAAAATGAAAAACCTTCTATGCATGACTTGAATGCCCAAAAGAGTTTATGGAATATTCTCTTCCCTTGAACAAGTTGACCTTTTAGGTTATTTGCAGGCATGGTGTGAGACTTCACGATGGTTTCAGGTATGAATTGTTTCTTAGCTTGTAACAAATCAGGTAGCTTATTATATGATGTATCTCAATCGCCATATATCAACCTCCTTGCCTTATCCTTCGCATGTCAAATAGGTTTGTATTTTACATTATATTCGAACTGGTCTCGAATAGATGCAGCTAACACCAAGCAAGGGATCATTGGATTTTGTTCAACTAACACCTTCACATATTGACATATTACATCGGAGTCCAGTAGTCGATGGTCTTGTTCGATAGAGTTTTGCAAACATGTGCGTGGACCATTGTACCTTGTGATGACCCAAGCATCTTGCCTCTGCATTTTGGACACTCTGATTAGCCACTTACACTCGGGCCCATATTTAACACACTTCACGTGCAGAGTTTTCTAGTTGGACTCTGCAACCTTGCAATATACATGGCCTTTTATGCAATACTCTTTAATCGCCAGTGTAACTTCTTTTTTTTCCTCTAAATTTCTTTCCAACTGATAATTCACCAAAGTTTTCGAATGATTCAGTCATGTAGCCTGAAGTTAAATGTGGCATCTCTGGGAACTCAGGTGCCCTCATCGCATCATAATCTATCTCGTACATGTGAGGGATAGGTTGATACGATGTCCAATAGTCATCAGTGGTCATATCAGGTTCATCATCATCGAAAATATTGTCATCCTCAACCAAAACAGGTTCCTCAGTTTCTTCATCTTCATTAGAATCATCCAGTACTTCTCCCCAGTGATTTTCAGCGTCAACATCAATAGTCGAATGTAGATGATGTATGCTTCTTGCCTCATACTCTGCGACTCCAGATGTTCCACCGGCTTCATTTGCACTTTCCAACATCGCCACGAAAATATTTATAGACCTATATGTTGGGTTCTCAATCTGACTTTCGAAAGCCATTTGAGATAAATTTCCAACCATATTTCTTGACGATCTAGACACATCAAATATATTACACACCTCAGCAAATAACTCAATAATTGGAATATTTTTTAGTCGTAATTCAATCATAGTTCTGATATCAACTTCTTCAAGTGGTATTGCATCATACCTGACTGGATTAAGACATACCATAAACATGTACCTCAAACCATCAAATGTAGCTTGAATTTTCTTTCTATTCTCTCATTCATTTCTAGAAATGTGATGTCTCTTTAAACATCATATTTATAGGTCCTTCAGGCTGAAAAAAATAACTCCGTCCTCATTTTCCATAATTTGTCTATTATAATGGACAATTGTGAAAATTTTGTTGCTCATTTTCTCTACACAAAAATATAGATATTCATAATAAATAAATAAAAATACATAAATAAAACAATTTATGACATGTTATATATATTAGAATAAAGTTATTATTATTAAAATTATTATTTTTAACATTTTTACAATAAATACTAAATTAATATTATTAAAATTATACTAATAATTTGTAAGGTAAAAGTAAATTAAAATAAATTATATTAATGACGATAAATTACACCTATGATTAAAATTAAAATAAATTAATTACTAAAATATTATTAATTTAATTATAATAAATATTATTAAAGTTTCAAAAATGTAAATATATTAACAATATTTTTTATAAAAATGTTAATACATTAACAATATTTTTTAATATTTTTACTAGAAACACTAAATCAAATGTTATTCTAATTATTTTAACATTTTTACTATAAATACTAAATCAATCTTATTCAAATTATACTAATGATTCGTAGAGTAAAAATGTAAAATTATACTAATGACAAAAAATTAAATTTATGATTAAAATTAAATTAATTACTACAATATTATTTTACTTTGTAAAAAATGTAAATATTTAACAATATTTTTTTATAAAAGGAATGATTAAATACTAATTATTACATTATAATAATGATTAAATTTATTACTTCGAAATTTTTATAACTACTTATGATTACATTATAATAATGATTTTTTATAACAGATTTTACCTCTTCTACTCTTTCCTTACCACTACTTTACTCCCAAATTCTAAACCAAAACACCCCATTTTATAACATCCCGTGATATTCATTATACTTTCCCGTTCAACCACCAGCATACCTGGGTTATTTATGGATAATTAATTGTGCCATTATTTTTCGCCATTATAATAAATATTATTCTTCGTCATTATAATTATATTTTTTAACATTTCTACTACAAATATTAAATCAAATAAGTTCATCTAATTATCTTAACATTTCTTCTACAAATACTAAATCAATAATGTTAAAATTATAATAATGATATTTCCATAACAATAAATAATAAATTGATATTTACTAAGTCAATATGTAACAAAAAAAAATTATAAAATACTTTAAATAAAATATTTTTACACTTACTTGAGAGTTTATTCCGACAAGTTGATGTTATAAAAAAAGCCCTTTCGAATTTCTTGTTACTTATTTTTTACCTACAACATAATAAAATTAATATTTCAATATTAAATAATAAAAGATAAAATAGAGATATAATCATGTTTTATTATTATATTATTAGTAATGATGTTTAATTATTACAAAATTCATTTCTTGCTCGAGTCCTTTGTGTTGTGGCTCCCTTGATAATGGTGACTTGAACATGCTGGATTGGACCTCATTGGTCTCCAAACCTAAAAGTGAAAAAATCCATCCATGTTCTTGTACCCATATCAAATTAATTCACCATGCAATCATATGATAAAAAATAAGATTTCTTAACACTTACAGGTAGTTTGGCCACTTTATTTGCTATTATTTGAAGTTTAGGTTGGGTGGAACTGTTTTGTTGAGAAGGCATCATCCACCTGACTGTGTTGATTGGGCCTTGTGTGTTCTAGTTCCGTTGATGGTATTGGGTAGGACCTTCTGGATTAGACCTTATAGGTCTCTTAATCTACAAGTGAAAAAAATCCAAAATATTATGACTAGACACTATTGGTCTCCAAAAACTCCTTTCATACATATGAAATAAATAATTTGATAATACTTGCAGGCAATCTAGGGTTTATGTTTGCACCAACTTTTGTATGAGGTTGAGGTTCAGGTTGGGTGACAGATTTTTCATGAGAATGCATCATCCACCTTACTATGTTGATTGAGTTTTGTTGGTTTTGGCTTAGACCTGTTGCATTAGTCTCCTTTGTTGGTCTCTCAGCCTAAAATAAAGTATTTATTTAAATAATTATTCTAATACATTAATTAAATTTATTAAAAAAATATTTAATTCAGGATTTTTGTCACCTCTGTTTGGTGGTACAACAGGCGTGTTACCACAAATTTTCCCCCCTCCTATTGTGGCCAGTGTTTCCATATTTTTTTCATGTCATTGTAACCCGCCTTTTGGTCATTCTTCCAGTTGCTATTACTGGTTCATCAAGCTCCTTTCTTTTGTTCTTTTGAGATCTTCCAGGAGGCCTTCTGATTATAGGGGGTAAGATAGATTCATTTGTATTGTAATGAGCCCATTGCTTTGGACATCTAACTGGCCTGACCATGTTTTCATATATACTCAGTTGAGTTTCTTTGGAGTAGTAGCTGCTAACATAGGATTCAGGTCTCTCTTGGTTGAGCATGATAATAGATGCAACATGTATACAAGGAATTCCTGCAAATGTATAGTAAACATAAGTAAATTATATAAATTGTTGTAAACAAGTAAATGCATTATACCTATAAGATCCCACTTTCTACAATTACATGAATGAGATTCTAGGTTTACAACATGTTGATATTCAAATTCAACAGAGACCCCAAACTTATGTCCACCTGCATGCGTAGGCCAACACCTGACAGCATGCACACCATGACTATAAATCAAGTATTGAATACCAATGACAATTAACATATGACAATTAACACAATAAACTAGTAATAAACCAATAAACTATGACAATTAACAGTACACATTAAAAACAGTAAACACATGACAATTAACACAATAAACTAGTAACAAAGCAGTTACACAGTAATACCAATAAACCAATAAACCAATAACCAATAATACCAATAAATTAGTAAACATTAAAAACAACTAACGCTAAATATTAAAAACAGCTAACAGTAAACACAATAATAGCATTAGTATTAGCTAATACCAATAAACTGTTTTTAATGACAGTTAAAATTAAACATTAGAAACAGTAAACACAAACCAATAAACTAGTAAACATTAAAACAACTAACAGTAATACCAATAAACTAGTAAACATTAAAAACCAACAGTAATACCAATAAACCAATAAACAACATTAAAAACCAACAGTAATACCAATACAGTAATACCAATAAACTAGTAAACAGAGTAAGCATGGTAAACATTAAAAACAACTAACAGTAACAGCTAATACCAATAAACTGTTTTTTAATGACAATTAACAGTAAATCAAGTAAAAACAGTAAACATCAAAAACTGTCATAAAAAACAGTAAACAGTTAACACAAAGGAAAACATTTATAAAACACAAACCTTGTTAGTAAACAGTATTAACAGTAGATAATAAACACAACCTCAGATATTCTCAACATTCATAAAAAAACCCAAACAGTTAACACTAACCTTGTTAGTAAACAATTAACATAATCATGTAAACATTTAACATAATCCTAAACAAGTAAATACAGTAAATTACCTTCTAGATTGGAAGCTAACATTCTCAACTTTCTTCTGAATTTTCGGACAAAGTGGACCAATTATCTTTTCAGCAGCTTCTTTCTTAGTTGCAATTCTTTGCATGATATTTGATTTAATCATCTCCATCATGTTTAAGATTGTTTGTCCCTGGCTTCCAAAATCACCTTAATAAAGAAAACTACAATTAATTTAGAGCATGTCACAATTTTTAAAACACAAAGGAAAACACAGTAAAAAAAATATGAAACTTGCACAATTATTTTACCTTATTAAAGCTCTCACACAGGTTGTTAATGAGCATGTCAAACTTGCACCTTGTTGAGAAATGGAACTTTGACCACTGTGAAGGATTCTTATTTTGCAACCAATCAAATGCATCTCTCGACATTGACCTAATTTAATTAATTACATCAGTGAATTCTTTTATGTAAGATACCCTTGCAGCCTTCCACAACACATCTTTTAATGCCTTTCCTTGGTTGTTCCTCTTGGACTTGAAGTTGGAATAAAGATGCCTCACACAAGTTCTGTGCTCAGCATTTGGAAACATTTCTGCAATTGCCTCTACTAGACCCTGTAAGTATCATTTAATTACAAATTAGTAAATGACATGACATAAGTATTTAAAATTAGATGAAAAGCAAGTCTAACATGAATTAATTTACCTTTTGCTTGTCTGACATGAATGTATAGTGATAGGAGTTTGTGAGCTCTAAGTCTTCTTCAAGAGTTTGTAAAATCAAGACCAAGAAGAAAGGTTTTTACTCTCAACTGCAGCATAAGCCAATGGATAGATGCAATCATTTGCATCAACCCCAATTGCTGCTAGTAGATAACTTTGATGATAGCCCTTAAGAAAACAACCATCAAGGCTAATGATTGGTCTACATCCTGCTTTAAATCTATCATTGCAGGTTTGAAGACAGATATACATTCTCACAAAAACCCTATTATCTAGAGGAAAAATGGTTGTTATCCCAGGGTTTGTTCCTCTCAACTCAGCAAGGTAATCATATATCTTTGCATGTGAAACTGAACAAAGACATCTTTAACCTCATACTTTTGTTTTAAAAAATAGACCCAAGTCTAGCGTGAAAAAACATCTGTAAATGCAACATAGTACCTAAAACCATTAGAACACAAAGGTGCAGGACCCCGAATATCAGTAACAACAAGTTCCAAAGACTTAGAATAAACAGTATTAAACAAATAAAATGGAAATTTATGAGATTTAGCTAACTGACAGGCAGTACAGACATGCTCATCTTTTTTATTGACAAAAAGAATATTACACTCTTTCAAAGCTTGTAGCAAAATACTTTTACGAGGATGACCCATCGTTTTATGCCACAAATCTAAAGAATCATGCTTAACATAGGAATACAAAAGAGCATTAGGAGCAGTAGAACATTTATTAGAAACACAAGAATTATTGTGAGCATTAAACTCTTGAGTGTGCTCTATAAACACAGACTTTTCTTGAGACAACACAAACTTGTACATCCCTCCCACTTCATGACCTTAAATAAGAACCTCCCTCGACTCAAGATCTTTCACTTGACAGTATGAGGGGAAGAACTCAAAGGAAACTTTATTGTCATGTGTAAACTTAGACACAGAAAGTAAAAATTTTAGGAACATAAAACAAGTTCCTAAGTTTAAACAAATTTGAATTAAAAAACAAGCTTAATTGGCTAGCACAAGTGATAGGAAGAATATTGCCATTTCCAACATGAACACCTGCAGAAGCATGAGACACAAACCCAACTTGAAGATTATTGTAATCATTTGTAATGTGGTTTATGGCACATGAATCAGGAAACCAAGTATTATCTTTTAACACAACAGGTGTAGCAATAAGGGTTTAAGGAGACTGAGAAAGCCAGGGATTGACAGTCATGTATTGAGACTGAGCACTTGCAGGTGGAACACCATGCTGAATTGTACTGCCGGCAACAGACATAGCAGGAAACACAGGAGCAGAAACTACAAAATTACTGGAAAAAGAAAAAAAATGATTATATAGTGCAGCAGACACATGAAAATTGGGGACCAGGGGAGAGAATCCTTGGGGAGCAGTCATGACCAGGGTTTCAAAAAACGTTCCGAAAACGCGATTTCGTCCGCGATATAGCGGTTTCACCACCGTCCGAGTTACCCGCTACACCCGCAATAGCGCCCGCGACGGCCATAATCAAGGTAAACCCGAAATGACCGAAAATGCGACCACGACCGCGATTTGAAACCCTGGTCATGACAGAAGGAGGATTGTAGTAAAAAGCTGTAGAGTAAGGCAGAACAATATTAGAAGCTGAATTATAAGTACTGACATTAGCTTGAGTGAAATTCTTATTTCTGCCATTATTCCCTTGAGTCTTTCTAAATGACTCATTTTTATAACCCATATCAAACCTATAATAACACATTTTCAACAAGTAGACCCATCATTCCATACAATTGGCGTTGAGATCTGAAGGAGTTAAACCTACCTCTATCTCTACCTCTGCCTCTACTGTTGTTACTGTGGTCCCTAGTATTGTAATTATTAACATCAACATGAGAAAAATGATTATTATGAATCACAGCAATGATATCACCAGTAGACTAATGAGCAGAAAATGTACAGAAGCAGTAATCTGACTATTAAACCCAGACTGTCTGGATATAACAGTCCTAAATTGGCATCAGCATCAAGTAGAATAGTTCTAACAGTCCTATGATAGTAGGAGAAGAACCAACAGTAATAACAGTAACCATAACCTCATACTCAGGAGGAAGACCATTCAATTTAGCAGTAATATGCTCATGCTCATAAATAAGTTCACCACAGCTAGCCAAGTTATCACAAACAGTTTTAATGGACATCAAATAATCACTCAAAGACAGCTCACCCTTCTTTTGTGAGTGCAATATAACCGTCGATAAGACATTAACCCAGATGTATTCTAGCCAATATACAATCTATGTAAAGTATGCCATATTTCAGACGAAGTATTAAGCCCTATAAAATAAGGTAAAACAGACTCACTAATAGTAGACAATAACCAAGAGGCAAGGGCACTATCTTGCTCTTCAAAAGACTTAAACTCAGGATTTATAGCAACTTGACCTTAACGAGTAACATGTTAAGGAGGAATAACATCACTGTCGATATACTTAAGCAACCTGTGTATTAATAGCAAGATAGACTTGTTGATGCCACGACAAGTAATTTTGATCATCTAAAGTAACGATTATCTTTTTTAGTAGAGAACAATCAAGTAGAGGCATTAGAATTGCCAAGATATAATTGACTTTGATTAGAGGCAGTATTCGTCATATAAAAACAGAAGAACACTAGCAGCAGAAATAAATAACGCAGAACAACAATCAGACGAGAAAGAAAAACGTTGATAACGAAAGCAATCCTTCACCAAAAAACCACAATAGAGGCGCTTAATCAGCAAAACAGAAGGATAATAGGAAAGAATATCACCTGAAATCAAGAATTAAACTCAAAGCAAGAAACCGATTAGAAGCGACCGCTTGTCAGAGGAGAACATAATCTCGCGTGACAGGCACCGCGAAGGCGCAGAAATCAAACGTCCTTCAAATTAACACAGAAAAACAACCGAAAGAATAACTCTGATACCATGTGGAGATCCAATGATCGGAGTAAAGAGAAGCAGCGATGGTGATTTATTAAGAACACTGAAGAATGATAAACAAAAGAAAGAAGAAGAGAGTACTTTTGTTATTTCTCAAGTATATTGAAACCCAGACTTACAAGAGCTTTTATAATGGGCCAGCTTATAATCACTGAGCCCAACTAACTGAAAACAGTTAGAACAGAAATATAACAGCCTATATACTCTATTATTGTTGTGTCAGTTTATTTCCACCCATTCACTTCGAGTTTTAACTCCCTCTTCCATTAATCCTGATTTTTACTAAATTTTATTAATCTTCAAAATTTCCACACACCCAAAAAAACAATGATTCAATCCTCATTTCTAAAACAAGAATAAGAAGGAAAGAAATCCTATCGCATCAATACGGGTGGCACCACCCTTGTCTTTGCCTCAAAGTTGTGGCCAATAGGGAATCCATTAATGGTTGAGGATAAATACAATCATCCTAAAATTTAAATTTTCTTCGATTAGTCATTTATTTTATTGATTGTGTCCACCCCGAAATTTTATATGTACCCATCCTATTCAAAAATTTTAAGGTATGGTTGCTTCTAGAAAATATTTTCTGTTTTTATTTTTAGAAAATAGGTTTTATTTCCAGTTTTTTGAAAATTAGAAAATATGTTTGGTTACTATAAATAAAAACTTGAATCCAAAAATAAAATAGTAAAAAATTATTTAATTTTTAATTTTTAAAAATAAAAATGAATAAATAGTTATTAAAAATTAAATTAAATTAAATTGTAATTATTAAAAAATTTCATTACATTAATTTAACTTGTGAATTATGAAAATATAAAACAATAAAGTTGATAAGGAATTTCATAACCCAAAATTTATTTTAGTTTATAATAAGAATATAATGTTATTGTATATTGTAAATCAATTAAATTTTAAAAATATACAACAATATTGTTATAAGCAAGAGCACATAAAAGTGTCATTAAAATAAAAATATTTTTAATAATAATTGAGGCCCTCAAATTTTTGGAAAAAAATAATTAGTGTAGCCCCTGAACGTTTTTGCATTGAAAAAATTAATCTAACCCTTTGAAGAACATAATCAAACTTTGACTGTCATGACACTTATATGACAGTTCATAAACTTACATGGCAATTACAATATTGATGTGACAGTTTACGAACCTGTTGTGGCAGTACAAATAGACAATGATGTGATAGATGTTGAACAATGTTTTGATATAACAATTTAAGGTAAAATGTTTTTGGACTTGAATTGAATTTATTCAAAGTTTTCAAAAGGTTTCAAAAATAATTCAAAGTCCATTAAATTCATATTTGAGCAAAAAAATTAAGAGGTACAGATACCCCTATGAATGGGTATCGATACCCCTATCAATACCTCTTATGAACGGGTGAATTGGCAAAAAAATATCGCTGGAAGCTTTTGCAAAAAATTGAAAATATTTACACAGCGATTTAGAGTGGTTCGACTTTCTCAACCAAAGTCTACGTCCACTACCTTAGCTATCCACACTAAGGATTTTCGACAAATTCACTAATTTGTCTTTCTTTTGAGGACAAAAAGTAACCTTACAACTCCCTCAAGAATTATACCTCAAATTCTTGAAAACACTCTCTCTCCCAAAGAGAAAATTACAAATTCCGCAAACTTACATAAAAACCTCACAAGGCAAGATGTTTGCACAATTCTAGAACAAGAAAATAACACTCAAAGATGAAAACAATTGAGCACAAAATGTGTTCTTGAAAGCAAAATGAATTTTGAAGGAAAATTTGCTTGAATTTCACAAACTTGATGTTTAATGCTCTCTCTTGATTCTTTCTCAATTCTTATTGATCAATGGCTCCTGAGCTTGTTTAAATACACCTTGGATCACTTTTGAACGTTGGGGATCATTGGTGAAGTCAATAGAGCCGTTATGGTGTAATTATCGTTTAAAAAATATGTTGGGAGCGTAGGTGTATCGGTACACTCTCTAGGTGTATCGGTACACTCAGTGTAAAATTCAAATATTTTGAAAGTTGGTTGACTTAGTATATCGGTACATCCCAGGTATATCGGTACACTAATTACATTCGATGTTTCTTGGAGCCAGGAGTGTATCAATACATTGGCTATGTATCGGTACACTAATTACATTCGATGTAGGGGGTGTATTGGTACATACAAGAGTGTATCGGTACATCCCTTTATAAAAAAAATTTCTGGCCCGATTAAGATTCGAAATACTTTGTAAAATTGTTTCAAAAATATTTTAAGATTGAAACACAATTTTACACTTAAGTAAGGATTAAAATTGACATTTGAAAACTTGTAGTAATATTTTTTTTATATTCGAATAATTTTACTCGAATATTAATTTTGAAATCAAATATAAAATCTTAAAATTCAATAGTATTTTATTTGTTATATCGAAACATCAAAATGTTTTCAACAATCTCCCCTTTTTTGATATAACAAAACATTTAAGTAATATTAAGATTTTCTTTGAAATCAATTTTCAAAATTACTCCCCCTAACTTTATTCTCTCCCTTTTTGTTAAATTAAAAAAACTCTATAAAACGTTTTTAAACAATATAAATAGCCAATTGATATAGATATATAGTTTAAGCTGCTAAGATCACAATCAAGAGAAAGATTAGCCATTAGTCCATAATCAATATTCATAACAAATATGTAAATTTGGAATTGGTCATAATTTGTCTAAAATGTTAATGATGCATAACTAACATAAAATTCAATTTAAGTTTAAAAGTAATAAGCATTTGTTGAAAACATTTTGATGTTTCGATATAACAAATTAAGTTAAATGAATTTTCAGATTTTACAAAAGATTTTCTAAGTATATTCGATATAATTATTCGAATATCAAAATATTACTCTAAGTCTTTCAAAGTTCATTTTAATCCTTACTAAAGTGTAAAATTGTGTTTTATACTTAAACTATTTTTAAAACAATTTTATAAAGTATTTCGAACCGTTTCAAAGACAAGAAAAATCATATTGCCCAGGGGGTACCGATTCCCCCTGTCTAACGGTCAAAAACAGATTGCACTTAGGGAACCGATTCCCCATGAGGGGGTACCGATTCCCCCATGCTCCAAGATATTTTATTAATTGTTTCTCATCTCCAAACGGCTCCAAAACATCCCCAATGACTATATACGACTTCAAACACATTCCAAGCTATAAATAAAAGCCAAGGACACTTGAAGAAGCAAGAGAACAACTATCCAAGCAATCAAACACAAGAGAAGAGTTTTTCAATCTTATTTCATCTTTCTCTTGTAAATATTTTGTTCTTGTGAGCTCAATCTTCTAAACACCTACCTTAGAGAGGTTTTCTTGTTTACATCTTTTATCCTTTTGTAAAGGGGAAAGGTTCTAGCTTAGCCCGTGTAAAAGCTAGGGAAAGGTTCTAGTTTAGCCTGGAAAAACTAGGGAGTTTGTAAGGTTACTCTTTATCCTCAAAAGAAAGAACAAATTAGTGAATTTGTTGGAAAATCCTTGGTGAGGAGCTAAGGTAGTGGACGTAGACTTTGGTTGAGAAAGTCGAACCACTATAAATCGCTGTGCAATTCTCTATCTTTCAATCTCCTTACTCCCTAAACACAAAACTGTTCCGACCCCTCTTTACAAACCGTTTCGGTTATTATCGATTCGAGCTTCTGAAAATCTTAACAATTGGTATCAGAGCCTAACTCGTTAAGAAGGTTTAACCACCTTAAGACGATCCTCGAAGAATCTCTACCGATTTCAAACACAACCGAAAAGATGGCTTCCACCTCCGACTCGTTCCACATGGAAGACTCCCTACCAGCCGACAAACCTCCATACTTCAATGGAGTCAACTATCATCATTGGAAGAAATTAATGAAGGTATTCATCCAATCCAATAATCTTGATGCATGGGAGATAATCGAGAACGGCTACTCTTCTCCAAAGAAGAATGAGAAAAAGAGGAGTGACAAAAAACGGATGAAATCTATGAAAGCTCAACTTAATGCCAAGGCCATGCACATGCTATTTTGTGCATTTGGTCATGAAATCTATGAAGGGGTTTCTTCATGTTCAAGTGCCAAGGAGCTTTGGAATAAGCTCGAGGAAATCCATTGAAACAAGAAAGAAGAACCAACAAAGGTGGTGTCTCTAATGGCTTGTGAAGAGCCCGAGGTATCTTCTAACTCAAATGAATTTAATTCATATACGTTTGATGAGTTACAAGATGCTTTAATAGGTTATTCGAAGTTTGAGACCATGAACTCCAAATATAAAAAAATGATTTCAAAATTTAAAATCGAAAACGATTTTCTTTTGAAAACAAAAATAGATTTTGAAAGCCAAAATGAAATTTTGAAAAAGGATTTAGAGCTTTCAATAATAAAAATTGATAATTTTGAAAAACAATTGTGATTTAAAAGTTAAGCTTGAATGCTTAACAAAAGAAAAAGGAATCATTTTAAATAATTCATTTAGTTCAATAATGACAATATGCTCACATTGTCATTATCATGGTCATTTGGAACATACTTGTCCTTTGAAGAAAGGAAAACGTTTTAAAATTAGCAAGTATGGGTTCCGAAAGGAACAAGGGGCATTGTAACTAACGTTCAAGGATCCAAAGCAATTTGGATACCAAAATCTACTTAAATGTTGTAGGTGTGTGGGAGCAATGGTGATGAAAGTGATGTATTCAAGATGCTCTAGCCACACATGAAAAAGGAATAGGTAACCTCTAAGCTTAATGCTTTTAATTTTGGTTATTTGGTTGCTCATTTGATTTTAAGCATGCATGAGTTTTGGTTTTAAATGATTATGCATCATTTTTTTAATCTCATGTATGTTGAAAAGATGATTATGATGAACATTTTAAAGTTATATTAATTTTTAAGAATTTTAGTTCATCATAATAAATTTTGGTCAAAATTGGTTTTAATGCAATTGATATCTCTCTAACAATTGATATCAATTTTTCAAATACTTTGATTTTACAAATTTTAAAATTTTTGACCTAAATTTGAATGTTTATGCATGTGGTTTAAATTAAAATGATATCTCTCTAACAATTG